CGACGAGCTTCTCGACCACTCGCACTGTAATAAGCTGCTGGGTGGCATGTCGCCTCCTGTTATTCTGCAGTTCACGATGCCTTCTTACTTCTATTCAAAGACTATGGTTCGCAAGTATGGCCTGTCTAATCTCGAGCGTACTATCGCGGAGAATATCCCACCGAAGGTCACGGCTGATCTGGTTTCTGGAGAGACTCATGCTCTCAATGAAGCCCTGGTACGTCGATGTCACCCCTGAGCCACGCGCATGCTTCGGGCTAATGGATGTTACAACAGTACCACACGAGCAAGGCTGTCTTGACGAATGTCATTCTAAATGGTTTCGGTGATAGAACGGAGATGGTGAACTCCATCGAGGGTCGACCACCGTTTCTGGATCATAAGTTGGTCGAATACGCGAACTCTTTACCTCCGTGAGTACCACGTATACGTATGCGTCGTCAAGTTCCTCTAGTCAACCTGTTCACTTCCACAAAGTTCCCTCAAGATTCGCCCCATCCTCAATCCTGATCATTCCGCAGACTCTGCATCTGCCGACAAATGGAGTTACACTGAGAAATGGGTTCTGCGCGAGGCTGTCAGACCCCTCGTCACCGAGGAGATATACACCACCAAGAAATCTCAGTACAACGTGTTCATCCCGAAGACGACATCATCATCCTCTTCGATTGGCCTTACACCTCTACAGGCGCACCTGAAGAAGCGCATTACTAAGGAGTCGATCGAGAGCTTGGGTGATATCTTCGAATGGGAAGCGGTGAAGCAGGCGTTACGGAGGTTTCTGCAGAACCCGGTATCGCCTGAGGATGGGGGGCTGGATAAGAATGGGAGAAGGCTATTGTATGTCCTTAGCTTCATTGTTCTGGGGGAAAGGTTCGGTGTTCGTGCGCAGTGAGTGCACGAGGGTTTTGCTACACTTGTAAGCTTAAGATAGGTGATCGACTTCGGTGCATCGTTATCTGGATTTCCTGACGGACTCACATGTACAGTCAATGAAATCGAGCGATGACGATGTGAAGGCTCTACTCTTCTCGGTCAGTGTGTGTCCATGCGAATACTGTGACGTCTGGTTGTTGATGGAGAAAAGTCGAAACTGATCAGGGCGAGTGGCGACGATGAACCAGACCACTGGCGGACTAAGCCAACACTTCCAGGACTAACAGCATCCGATCCATTCCAGTCTACCAGACAATCATAGATGGCGAGAACATACCAATCGCGGCTCTTCCAAAGCAGAGAGTACTTTCGGCCAACGGCGATCACGGTGGACAGTGGGCTCCCCGAAGCATTGGTGCCACCTTCGAACACAATGGTCGATATCTGCGTCTACCTGCAGGCTACAGCAGATATGTCCCAACTTGGCCATATCATTGTGTACATTGCCGATCTGGACAGTGTATCCTGGGTTTATAAGAACTGGCGAGCTAAGCTGGTTTTTGTTTCTCAGCCCACTCTGATCTGTCGCCTCCTACCAGTACTTCAAATCTTCTCTCCACTTCCCTCGCTCCATGGTCGACCTCCGAGGCCAGCTAGAATCACTCCAAGGCGGACCCGTACCAGCCTCCAGAAAACGTCATGCCATCTGTCTGGATCAAATTCCCGCCGATTGGATTCGCCAGGCTGTCGCAGCAGGCGTTGCACTAGACAACGAACACGACATTATTCCTACGGAAGATGCGTACGATGAAGACGACGCCAGCAGCTGTTGGTCCGGTGACAGCTCCTGGACATTCCGACCCTCCGGCTCAGGCTCGCAATCAACCGTCGTATTCCCCTCCGAAGCCGACTCAACTCGAACGGCAATCTCCTCAGCACCGGCAAGGAAGACTGACGCGCAGAAATACGCGACTCTTGTGAGGGGGGTGGGGAAGTACGCTCCTGGTCAGCGTGGTGCATTGCCGGCGAGCTTGATCAGGCGGTCGATTGCCTCCTCGCGGGGTCTGGAGAGCGATGTGGCGTCGGCGGTGATTTCGGTGTACCGGGGTCCGAGGGTGAGGGCGAGGGGGGCTTCGCAGGCTAATGTTTTGGATGCGTTGGTAAGTGTGCTTGACGAGTTTATCTATTCTAGTACGGTGTTGATGATTTGATCATAGCGCGCGGAAGCGGCGATGCATTTCCAGCTTCATGCTTGCGACGAGGATGGCGCTGCCCCGTCTGGAGTGATTTGCCCACGACGCGGATGCAGAGACTTCCTGAGGACCGTCAACGCGCTCACGCATCATCTTCATCTGCACGATATCGACTTGAAGAGGCCTTCTCTGGCTAGGAGACTTCGTCCTCGGTATGTGCTATGACCGCTCCCGTTTGGTTCTGACTCAAATCTGACATCTTGGTTAGTAACTTTGCTTGCAAACAATGCGGCTGCACGTATGAGACGAAGAGGGAGAATTCGATGCATGCTTGTCATTCGGCTCTCAGGGCTATGTCATCGAGGAGCCCGATTCAAGGTTTGTTTACTCTCTTGTTAGTTTGCTTAGTACTATTCTTCTGATGATAAAAATTTGTAGCTGGGTTGCATATTCTCAAGCAGTCTTTGGCCGGAGGGAACCTTTAAAGGTAGATAGCTTGTCGTGTAATCGCGTTCATGATTATTCCACCGTACAGTAGTCTTAATTTCGCTGTCATCGCGTCTTCTCTTTCTCTCTCTTCTCTTCTCTTTCTCTCTTTCTCTCTCTCTTCTCTTCCCTTGCTCTCTATTTCTCTCTCTTCTCTTTAAATTGCTCTCTCTTCCCTTTCTTCCCTTGCTCTCTCTTCCCTTGCTCTCTCTCTCATCCAGTCCTGCATCGCTACCTTCATGAGATGTCTCCATATCCTACTGTCTACATCGTTCCTCCTTTATCTTGCCAATTTTATCTGTGGTTCGATAAACTCGTTCAAGGTTGAGGCCCACCAAAGTCCAGAGCGTCCAAGTCGACGCCACCGGCGCAACACCCAACATTGGCATATCGCGCCCACGTGTTCTCCACACCTCTTCTTGTCGACTTGCACCCTCCTCCCTCCCTCCACTTTTCCTAGCGCATCCCTCCATACCTTGAAGATCCATCGCGCCACCACACACCTTCATCTATCCATTGATTCAGAGAAAAGATCATACCCAGCGGACCCTTCCCAGCGAACGCCTAACGTCTAGTGTGCACGAAACAGCGAACCTAGACTCGCAACTCTCCTGCGATGTATCTCTCTTCTTTCGACCCCGAAATCAAAGAACAGGAAGCAAAGGTCCCGTTTATATCGATCTCGCATGGGAAGGACACGATGCCTATGTTGGTGAGGAGGCCTGATACCCTTGAGGTCAGTTCTGAGCTCGTCTTCGTCTTCATCTTCTTTCTTCTTCATTATCTCTGCCCTTCTTTCTCATTCATGAAATCTGACATCGTGCTCTCACAGGAACTCAAACGCATCGCCCTCCGTAAATATCCCGCCCTCCGTCGCGCGCTCAAGATCCACGCGTTCATACCCGCTGAGCGGTTCGGACTGGGTGAAGACACGATCATTGGTGGGGATGCGTATGTGTGGGTGAAGGAGTGTCTGGTCAGACTTGTTTGGGTCGAGGTTGAGGTCGTCGAAGGTGAAGGTGAGCTCGTTCCACTACTCCGTTGGGTGGTTGATTGTCTGACTGGCTTGCTTTGTAGATGATGAGGTGGATGAAGAGTATGTGGCGGTTAGACTTGAGAAGACCAACGAGGCTGTAGCAGTTGAGATCACTGGGGATGCGCTCATCCAAGATGAAGAGCAAGTACCGGACGAACTAGCGGCAACTAGTACACTGAAAACTACCACCACGACAACGACGACAGGGATCTACGTCCAATCGCATTCCCCTCCTCCCCATCACGAAGACGCGGACCCGGATCTCCCATCTCCCGTACCATCTCCCAAACCACTTCCCGAGCGTCGTCCGGATCTCGTTCAGTACGATGAAGAAGAGCACGACGAACTCGAGCCCAGCAGGGTGCCATTCGTTCCTCGCCAGCCTGCGTCACCTGTGAAGAGGAAGGGAAAGCTGTTGTTGAGTGACGATGAAGATGATATTCAGGAGGTTGTGCTTCCGCGGAAGAAGAAGGTCCTGCGCGAGGAGTCTGAGGAGGAGGAACAGTCGCCTTTCACGTCTTCTAAGAACGCGGCGAGAGGGGGTAGTTTGAAGATGGGTGGGGCGGGGAAGGTCGTTGGTGGTGAGTGATTTTGACTTGCGTTTGGGGAGTAGCGGTGCTGACGATGATATGGGTGTATGGGTGTAGATGTGAAGCCGAAGAAGATGGTCGATGAACCAGTTGCTCCGGGTACGTTTGTTCAGTGTCCAACGCACACGGAGACTAACCCAGGGTCGATATCAGCATCACAATCTACCATTAAGAAAGAACGTGTCTCAAAAACCGGTACTTATCCCACTCCACTCCACTCGCCTTCCCACACTAACACCACGTCTCTAGAACAACTAAGAAACCCCGCCCTCGCCAACTCATCCAGCGACGACAAAGAATCCGAGTCTTTCCTGGTCACCATCTCGCATCCTCACTCCGGTAAAGAAGTGAGGTGTAAGGTGCGAGGCAGGAATGCGATCAAGAAGGTTGTGGATGGGGCTTGCAAGGGGTTAAGGTTGGATGCGCATCGGTGCGTTCTTCTAATCTAAGCCTGGGTTTCTTTGTCGACTAATAGTATGCGATAGCACGGAACTATACCACAATGTGACGTATCAGGACGAGATGGACGAGGCGGTGACGGAGAAGTATATATGTAGTAAGGATGAGACGGTTGCGCAGGCTGGGATTAGGGAGGGGGCGAAGTTGATTTTGATTGTGGATGGGGAGGAGGATGAGGAGTCGGAGTAGATGTTAGTTGGTACGCAGTCTATGGATTTTGATTGTATTAGCGAGAGCGTAGGTACATGCTGCAGTGGCCGTAGAGTACAGCCTGTGCAAATTGTCTCCGCTTCGGGAAAAGCACGGCTAAATCCGTAGAGCCACGCGATCGAGTCTCTCCTGTTTTATCTCCGTTCATCTGCCCGCCTAGCTCAATTGGCTAGAGCGTCAGACTTTTACGGCTTAGGCAGGTATCTGAAGGCTGCGAGTTCGACCCTCGCGGTGGGCTATTACGACTTTCGAGAATCTTTTTGTCATGTTTGGGTATCGGCCGTGGATCTCCTGCGGTGGTCGGACATTTCGGGCCGTGCATTGATGGGGTCCGTGCGCTTCTCTCGCATTTGATGGTTCCGCGTGGGAAAAAGTGGGGTGACTGCTCCTGTTCTGTAACTTCAAGTTCTACACTGCGAGTTTGTTTTTTTCGCGTCGTCTTGGGGATTCTCTTCCTTCGTTCAAAACCTTCTTCGCACAAAGCGTCCATCTTTTATAATTATTTTGTGCGTATATTCTTTTCGAACACCCCAATCCTCCAAGCCTCTCCTCCAGCAGTCACTCCTTTCCACTTACGTGAATTCAAACAACGCTTCTTTTTGGGTCCCTCCTTTTTATCCACACTTTTCCTTGTTTGTTGCTTGTGATGGACGAAGGACAGACCGGACTCTACGCTTCTTACACTGATATGATGAAGGTCTGTTGTTGTCGTCGTTATTGTTGAAATGTGGAAAAAAAAAACTGACGAAAAACCACTACAAACAGCGCTCAATGGATACCGCTGGTGGACCTGATGCCAAAAAGGCCCGTTGGTCGCCCAACGCTTTCCCCGCCAATCCTCAAGGCAACAACGGCGTCAATGGCGGTGCTGCCGCTGCCGTCAACCGCGACGCTTTCGCCAACTATGGTTATGGCCCTCAGGCGGCCTACAATCAACAGCCTCAGCAATCATCGCCGATCCCCGGATTCGCAACTGCTAGCCCGTTGTACTCGACCCCTTCGTTGTCGATTAACACGCAGACGGGTGTAGGGATGGGAGGTCAGGCGAGTCCGAACCCGGCGTCGGCGGCGGCGTTTATGCAGCAGCAGCAGCAACTTCAGCAGGCGCAGCAGCAACAACAGCAACAACAGCAACAGCAGCAGCAGGGTCAGCAGACCGCGATGAATGGGAATGCGTTTGGAGGGTTTGGAGGTGCTTATAACCTCCTTGGGATGGGGATTCCGGGGATGAACATGCTGGCTGGGTTCCCTCAGTATGCGAACCAGATGAACTTCCAGGTGCGCTGCGTTTCGTTTCTACTCCTTTCTTCTTATATTATTCATGCTAACGTGTCCACCAGCAACAGCGCATGCCCTCCCTCAACCTCCAAATCCCTCAGAACCCCCAAGGCAGCCAGCAATTCTCCCCTGCCGCCCTCTCCGCCGCCATGGGCGCCCAAAGCAACACCACAGGCCGCACCGTCTACGTCGGCAACCTCCCCTCCGACGCCTCTGTCGATGAGCTCCTCAACCTCGTCCATTTCGGTCCCCTCGAGTCCATCCGCGTTCTCCCCGAGAAATCCTGCGTCTTCCTATCCTTCCTCGACGGCGCCACAGCTGCCGCCTTCCACGCCGACGCGACGATCAAGAAGATGGGTCTCCACGGCCAAGAACTCAAGATAGGCTGGGGAAAACCGTCCCCCGTCCCCGCCCAAGTAGCACTCGCCATCTCCCAGTCCAACGCCTCCCGCAACGTCTACCTCGGCGGCCTAGACGAGTCCGTCACCGAGGAACAACTCCGGGACGATCTCTCCCGATTCGGGTTGATCGACCAGGTGAAGATCGTCAGGGACAAGAACATTGGATTCGTCCACTTTTTGAGTATCTCGGTGGCGACAAAGGTGGTTAATACGTTGCCGACGGAGCCGAGCTGGGCGGGGAAGAGGGTAAATTATGGGAAGGATAGGTGTGCGTATGTGCCGAAGAGCCAGCAGGCGGCGGCGCAGCAGGCTCAGGCGGCGGCGGCGCAGACGTTGGTGGCGGCGCAGCAGCAGGGGATGAGCCCGACTATGGGGAGCGCGATCAGTCCGTTTTCGCCGTATGGGGGAGCGGGTGGATTCGCTGCTGGTGATTAATCTTGTTGATGCGTTTTAGTGTTTGAAGCTGATGTGGGGACTTCCGTAGGTATGGGAGGACAGGCGTTGAACAGGACCGTGTATCTCGGGAACATTCACCCTGAGACGACTATGGAGGATTTGTGCAATGCGATTCGTGGAGGTGTGCTGCAGAGCATCAGGTACATGGCTGATAAGCACATTGCTGTGAGTCTCGTTTTCGTTTCTTGACTTTCTGTTCTTTTTGCCTCTCGTTCCTGGTCTCCGGGCTCGCTTCCGTTTTCTCGGTGCGGGTTCCGCATCGTCATATGTTCCTTTGGTCCACTGGAACTTGCACGGAGATACCGATTTCCTTTTTGGGAGTTTTCGGACTGTGCTTCAATAACTTCCATAACTTCCTCTTTCCCTTCTTCCAACCTTCCTGTCATCCACCTCAACGCTCTGACTTGTCTTTGCTCCGTTCTCTTGGACCTTGATACTGACTATCCATTGCAGTTCGTCACCTTCGTCGACCCCGCCGCTGCGTTCACCTTCTACCAAGTCTCCTCGTACCAGCCCCTTACCCTCAACAACCGACGCCTCAAAGTCGGCTGGGGCAAGAACTCTGGTCCCCTCCCTCCTGCTCTCGCACTCGCCGTGCACGGAGGTGCGACTCGTAACGTCTACATCGGCAACATCGCCGTGCCCGGCGTCGAGAATGGCAACGGGTCCGCTAACGACTGGGAGTACTGGACTGACGAGAAGCTCAGGAGGGAGTTCGGGGAGTACGGAGAGGTGGAGTTGGTTAACTTCTTGAAGGAAAAGTACGTCCTCGTCTTGCCCTTGAATCGCGTTCTTAGTGTCAACGACGATTTTCCTTCTAGGAACTGCGCCTTCGTCAACTTCACCAACGTCTCCAACGCCATAAAGGCTATCGAGGGTATCAAGCAACGCCCCGAGTACACCAACCTGCGCATCGCTCATGGAAAGGATCGTTGCGCCAACCCTCCTCGCTCGGGCCCCCAGGGTTCTTCGGGCATGAGGCGCTCTGCCTCCGGTCAAAACGGTCAGAACAGCGCTGTCACCCCTAGCGACGCTGTTTACCTTGGTGGTGACGGCGACGATGCCCACGGCGGTGGAGCGGACGAGTTCGTTGTTCCTACGAGCAGCGGCATGGTCGGAATCGCCGCGGAGGACGAAGGAAACGTCAAGACGGAGTAATCGTCTCGCGCGTCGTCTTCTTGACATTATATGCCCTTCGTTTAAACTCTCCCTCCCTTTCTTCTTTCCTTCGGACTTTGCCCTGCCTTCTACTATAACGCGTTGATCTTGGCTTGGGATCCGTTGTATGGGTTTCTGTGTTCCATTTGCGCGATGCTATCCCTTGGTGCACCGCTTCTCACATATAGTTCCTTCTTTTTCCTTGGGCGCGGATCGTTTAGACCCATTCCCTCCCCGCCTTTGTTGAATTATACCCCACTCATCGGCGGCGGTCTTCCTCTAGCCACTTTTGTTTATTATTCCTTGATTCAACCTGTCTTGTGCCTTGCTCCTCTCCCTCCCTGTCTGAAGAATAACTGTGATATTAGCCAAAATGATTTGTTCGAGAATGTCTTTGTCTGTGCTATCACTGTCGTTCATTCATTTGTCTGTTGTCTGTCTCTGTGCTGCCGTTCATCTGTGCAACCTGTCCCACTCTTGCGCACGAAGCGCCCCCATTTTTACTCTCCCTGCAGCCATTCGACAAGGCTGACATGGACCTCACTCACTCGCCCTTCGTCCCGGTTGGGACAACTTGTGTTACCCCCTTTGAGCTCTGCATCCGTCTTGACTATTGCTTGACCCTCGCGTCGGTCGTTCGTGCGCGTGTTAGCGACGCGAAGCCGTATGCGTTTAACTTCCTAATATTCGTTCTTCTGCTCGCTGACTTGGAATTCGGAGTTATCTTTGAACTCGCTCTGCTGTGATGTAGTAAGTAACATTTCGATTTATTACCCAGCACCCACAGTACACTCATTGTCTATCTATCATCTGCCGATAGAAGGGAGTTGGTCTCTCGAGAATTGCACGAGAGGTTGAAATCGCGATCAAGGGCTCACAAGTTCAAGAGCGAAGGCCTATGTAAGTCTCAAGCCCCGGTTGGACTCATCGAGTTGCTTGAGCTTGGCCTTAAACGTTACACGCTAAATGTTGAACTCGCACGGCATTATATCCGTGCTCTTCAACTAGTCTTGATAGTAATGATATGCAACATAATTCACGCATTGTCCTCGTCGACACTGCTTTGTTTGTGAATGCCAGTCCCTCTGTGCATCCTGCCAGTGGGACACAGCTTCGGAGTGCAACTATTGCGCCCGAAAAATCTTCAAACTCAGCGTTGACGACAATGTACACTTTATTGACTGCGAGGCATCTTGTCCCTCTGCTGGCTATAGCCTAACAACCCTGCTCTCGTGCCATTCTACGGTTACGCCACTGACCCCATGTCTCTCAAACACGTCCAGAACCCAGGGGGAGGTGTTCCTAGCCTGGTGCGGAGTCGTGGTTGATGGATGCGTAGCAATTCAGGCAACCATCGGATCAAACACCTTCTCGTCCCCCTCAATAGTAGAGAATCTAACCATCTTCAAAGAGGTGTAATTGCACCCATGGGTCTTCAGCACGACAGTAACTTCCGGAGCAATAACACTCCAGAGTTCCCTCGTCAACGTCTTACCGACGACCGGTTCAGCTGTCTTGATCCGCACTTTGAACCATCTGGCACCCATTGGCGGATGCGGGAAGGGAACAGTGTCAAGATTGGAGCGAAAGTAGAGATGGGGCCCACTCCCGGCGACTCCGTTGTAATAATTGGAGCTTTCGAATGGAGAGACGTAGTTCCCGGTCGTCAGAGCGTCTCTGGAGTCTGGCTTGATGCGGACTTCTGTGTGAGTATGTGGATTTCCACGCTGAGAAGCGGCTGGACGAGTTGGATGCGCCAGGCGGTAGAATATGAGTCCGGTTACGCCTAAGTGAGGGAACAGAACATGTCACGACGAGATATAGCGCGCAGGTAGCGGCGATCGGACTGACGGTGTAGATCGCTGTCCCCTCTGACTTCCTCCAGCAACATCGTTATGCTCTTTGTTGACATCTTGTACGAACGAGTGAGAATTTGATAGAAAGT